CAACCTGGTTGAATTTGAACTGGTGACCTAGAGGTGAAATGCTTTATATCCTATTACTAATTCCTTGAGGTTTTCAGTTTCTCATCCATCACTTTTTTCAAATGACAGCACAGTGTATGTCTGAAATCTCAAAACAATTACTGTTTCACATATGCAGTACGTGTTGCAGAATCTGAAATGTGTCTTTAGCTCTCACAAGACTTTCACACTCACTTTGTACGCTTAAAAGTTAACAGAAAAAGATTTGTTTCCAAAGCCACCTGGGAGTTTTCCCTCTTCCTTACCAATGTACTTTATCACAGTTAGGTATATTGTTTTTCTTAACCATTGTTTTACAAAAAGCTTTTTAAACCTCCCCTTACTTAAATGGAATTCACTGGGATGATGTATATCCCCTGAATGACAGTTTAGGAACTGATTTTTTTACAGTAGTTTGATTGTTTGGGAGGATTTGTTTATAATTTTTTCCTTCTGCTATGCAAGTAGAATTTCTCTAGACACCTACAGCCGAACTTGCATGGTTAAAGCAGCCAAAAAGCTTACAATTGTCTGTAGTCTTTGTAATTCTTAAAAGGCTCTAAAGACCTGTGTTACCAGATTAATGTACTTGCCTCCTGGTAATAGGTCAGCTCCTTTCCAAACTTAAACTTCCAGCTCCCCAAATACAAGCATTTTTCCACTGTGTGATGCTGAAGGAAGCCTTTTCACTGAGAGGGTGCTCTTGTATTCAAACGGGAAATGTGAGCAGGAAATAAATCAGAATTTGTAGGATGAACAGTGCTGTGGAACATTACTGTCTTTCAACAAATCCCCTTGATAGTTGTGGTATCTGATGCCCCTGGGATAGACAAGTATGTCAGGTGCATCTGATGAGGGGAAAAAGAGGGCCTTCAGTTTCTCTACCTTCACTGGTAGGTGTCCCACCATCACTTATGAAATGGATGAGACAACTGATTCCTCAGGGGCAAGTATAAAATACATAGGCAGAATAATTAGGATTATGTAGAGTTGCATTATTTTTCTTTAAGTTGAAAAATTGCTGTGATTTCTGTTTGTTTTCAAGGGAAGATTGTGCAGGAGCCCTCTTTTAGTAAGATAATTTACCAGCAGTTTTAAAACTTGTTTTAAACAAGCTAAAAACACATAAATACCATTTATGGCGTGGCACAGAGAAACAACAGTAATGCTTTTCGAGGCTGGGATTTTAAAGAATATGGTTAAGGCTTTATCTTGATCTGAGCTGATAGGCTTTCTTCTACTGCAGAGAACATGCCAACCCTTTCAGCTAGGTGTCTGTGTCACAAGCAGAAGAAATTATACACATCGTACAAGGTGATGTCTTTTTGTTTCACTTGGGCTCCATTCAAACTTTGGATATTGCTGCCTGGCTTTGTCCCTGTTTTTATACTCCCTTAACAGGTAGGCAGGGGTGTTTTCAGTTATGTTGGATCCTAATAAACTACTAGGTTTTAATTCAGGACTTAAGGAACTTACTGACCCAAAGAGTTTTAACAATCTGCAGTGAGATCCTAGATGCCAAGATTTTTGAAGCATGTAAAACAAAATTAAAGAGACACTGAAATACAGCTCTCTTTTAAAGAGCTAACTCATGTCATTAGCAACCTACAGTTCATGTACAGTTATTGCTCTACTAGACTTTTACATCCTCAAACTGTATTACAGGATAAATAACACAACAGTTTTTGCAAAACAAAGTACATGGTTTCTGGGTAGCAAAAGTCCACTTAGTTAAGTTAGTGCCATTATGCAGTAATAAGGTAAATGGGATGAATCTTTTTAACTTGCAACATCATAGTTGCATTGAAGTAGCCCCAGTCAGCAACAGCATCCAGTCCCCAGCTCTAAATAAGTTTTTTCTATTGTCTGTGATTGCAGATCTTTGTGATTGCTCGTAGAAGTTCTAAAATATGAAGGATAGCTAAAGACTAGGAGTGACCGCATTTTTTCTTGATCCTTCCTTGTTGTCTTTGAGGACACAAATAATGAGCAGCTCTTACACTCCTCGGTGCCGTATACCAAGGACCCCAGTGAGGAAAGGTTGCATACTCTTTCTCCAAACTTTATATATTTTTCAGGAAATTCTTCTGTGCTATGTGCCTGCATCCTGAAATAACAGAAATGCTTGCTCCATATGTGCATATACATTGTCAACTTCACAAAAGTATGCATGCATATGTCCTAGGGGTGAAGAAACATACACAGGCACACACGTCTGCTTTTCTTCTGTGTATGTGCAGCAGATTTTATACGCTATGACATTTTGTAAGATCTAGATCATGTAATCCCCCTCAATGAAACAAAGAGGGAGCTGGGATATATTTGGCTAGCTCTAGCAAAGCCTAAGATGGGCCATATGTAATAATATATCTTTGAGTAGGCTGTTTCTGCAGTGTCATCATACTGACTAGAGTCAAATTCTTCCTTGGCTCATGCTGGACACCCGCTTTATATGACCTAGAAAAAAATATGGGGGGGTGTGGGGGGGTGTATTTTTAGCTAAACTAAAGGGTATAAGCAAGGTTAAAAAAGTAGGGTATTGCAGGAACCTCAATTAAAAGGAACAGGTGTTTTTCTTTGTGGATTATTAATACCTGTTAATACATCTGGGGAGTCTAGAAGCATAATTTTCTTTAAACTACCAGCTATTCCTATGCTGTGGCTTCATAACGAGTAGTCAGGATTAAAAATGAACACACAATGTATTCAGTGTTTATGTTATACAGAAATTTAGGAGTTGCCTGGCCTGTGTGCAGGCTTTAATTTAACCTACAGAGGTAACTAGTTCTTAAAATTATGCCTGTATTTCTGAATATTAGTATCTGATAAATGTATGACTAGTTAAAAAACAGACCCTGAACTTAATAACAGTATCTACTTTTAGCAAGTTTGCATTTAATAAGTTCTCGTTTTTGACAGCTTTCTTAGAACCACCTTACTGAAGTGATCTTTTGGCAGTCCTGAGTATCAGCCATTCAGCAGGTCAAGCAGTGTAATAACCTTGCATTAATCAGCAGCTAAGATTTATATCTGTACCTGCAGCATCACACTAGTATAACCTAAAATAAACAGCATGATGTTTATATTTGTCATGTAACAAGTGTCTTTCTCAGTTTGGTCACATGCATTTAATTTAAAACATATGCAGTAAAGAAAAAATGGCTTGGCACTGTGTGTTTCCATTTTAAGTAATCTGTTTTAAAATAGAAGCAGTACAGGATATGTTTTATAAGACGAGCTCTAAAGAAGAGGACAAATTCTTTCATCACTCCAAAATGTCGTTGAGGAGATTTACAGCAGGTGTAGAGGAGAGAGGCTGAGAGGCAGCATGCCTTGGGCAGCCCTAGGCTGTCCTTTGCTGCTGCCTGCTGCTGAAGCACGGTGGGGATTCTCCATGCCAGAGCTGTGGACACCCAGGTCATGGCTCTGCTTGCTCATTTTTCCTTCTCCCCTTTCTGAATTCGCTGCCCTCCATGCTAAGATCTGTCCTTTATGTTGGAGGGGTTTGAGCTCACTGTAGGATGACTGAGCGGTGATCTGGCATGTGCAAAGGTCTGTCAGGCTGGTGTCTAGGAGGCAAGTTGGATTCAGGCTGGACTACAAAGCCCTGTTTCATTAACAACTCAGAGTTCACATGGAAATGGAAAATTAAAGATTTGAGGAACAGTTTTAGGCTTAACAGTCTCAAAGCTTTACAATTCCACCTGTCCTGTAGGAAGGGAATATCATTTTACAGGAACACCATGTTCTTCAGTGGAATTCACTCCTCAAGGCCAGCAAATATCCCACTGGACAGGTGGAATTTTAAGGCTATGTATTGCGTTTCTTGAGATGGATGTATATGTATTCTTTGCTCACTCACCATGCTTTCGGATAGCATCCTGTACTCCAATACTGTGAACTTATTTTGAATTTATGGGACACCTAGCACCTGTTTAAAACATGCATTTTAAACAGCACTGTAAAGTCAGATTTAAAGTGCAATTTACTGCATTTTTTTCATTTCTGTTTGAATGTTGCACACCAAAATACACTCAGCTAACAGTGACAGAAATAAAGTGTATCTGAATCTAGCAGTCTTAGTTGCTTAGAAGCAGAAAGCAAACTAAGCAAAATATTTTCTTGTTGATACACAGCAATAAGTCAGCAGATTCTGAATTAAATTTGTGACTGTTTAGTGTCAGACTTCACATTAGTGAGAGACAAAATTTTACCTTCCAAAGAAGCTAATATTTTCTGTATATGTAAGTGGATTTGACAGGGAAGTTCTGATGCAAGTTGCATTTCTTACTGCCTTACTGTATTAATTAATCTTTGCAGTAATGTTGTAAGATACGTAGCTAAGAGAGCAGATACTCATTTATCCTTTTAACTTTTACAAAGTTCATTAGACAAACAACTGCTTTTCTTATAAATACTGCCTGAGAAACCATTTTCCTTTCTAAATAGCAGGCTTGTCATAGACCTAGAGTATCCAGATGAGTGCTATGAATGAACATCTAATGGCCGGTCTACCAAAATGGCCTATCTCTTGATCATGAGTACCATCAGCATTGCAGTGCCCACCTCTGAGTGGTGACCACCATGCCAGAGACATGTCATAAACCCTCAATTTACGTGGTTGGTAAAAACACATAGCCTACTGCTATATATCTATGAGGAGAAGTAGTATTTTGATTGATTAGTTTTTACTAAAAGTTTTAGGTGCAGAAGTCCAGATTAGCCATGTAGCATCCATAAATACAAGCTTTGCCTAATTTTCCAATCACTATGAGTCTGAATAAGTAATACAATATGAGATGACATGCCAAAAAGTTGGACCGTATCGTGTGGGTTAGCACTGAAAGTTGTGAATGTAAGAGGGTCAAAGTACAGAATGTTACATATACAGTATGTGTGCAGTTGCATATACATGTTCATAGACATGACTTGAGTTCAACAAATATAATGTCAAAAATTTGACTCTGTGCCATTTGTTTCAGGCAGTTATTTGGCAGAAGACCAGGGTGTCAAATCACAAAATGGCCTTTATGTCAGTTCTGGGAACAGCCGTTATGAGCAGTATGGTACCTTTTCAACACTGCTGTGAAGATCCTGAGGTGAGTTTAAACTTCCTTCTCCCAAATCTACTTCAAGTCTGTCAATGAAGAGACCCAAATCAATATTCACAAAGGAGGCTTTAAGAAAGAGAATATTATCTCCCATTGACATCTGATTAATGCATTTGATTCTATTACTGTCCTCTCTGTAAAATTAATTGGTTTGGTGATTGAAAATCCCCTCCAAGAATCATCTAGTGAGGACTCATGTGGCACTGATCAAATGGCAGTAAAAACAGTTGTGATGACAAATGCAGAATTGCTGATTGCTCAGAGCTGTCTAATTTGGGATTCCTGGCCCTCAGGCAGGTTTTGCTCTGATTAATATCTAAGCATTTGTATCATTCTCATCCATGTAGCCTCTTAGCCTCATAGTTTAAAGAGTATCCTGTCAGTTTCAGTGAGGGCCACCTGTGCAACAAAAGAAACACATACTTCGAAAGCAAGTTATGCAGAATTTCCACTAAGCATATTTCAAGGAAATATGACATAGTTTTTAAAGCTTTCTTTGCCCCTGTTGAAATTGAAGGAATTCCCCATTATATTCTCCTTTGTCTAATAGCTGAAAAATGTTTTACTCTGGTTAGAGAGTTGGAAACATTCTTACAAAGGGGAGTCTTGCTACTGCTGATCCTTCAAAGTTGCATTTTCCTGTATCTTGTAATAATAAATCTTGACCAGTGACATAAATGAGATGAATCACCATCTGTAAAGTCACAGTGGCTATTAAACACAACTTACCATGCTACATTCAGAATGGTAAATTGTGTTTAATAGCATTATTTAAACTTATATCTTGAGTTTCAGAATGCTTGTAGTATACATAGGCAGCAAAATGAGGGGAAAAAGGGAAGTTGCTTCGTGTAGTTTACAAAGTTTTAGTTGCTTATGTCAGAATGGAACATCCAAAGTTAATCTTACCTGAATGCAGGCTGGATGTGCCGCACAGGGCAAGTGCAGAGGACTCCAAAGGGAAGAGATGAGGGTACTTAGAAGAGACTATCTTGAAGAAGGCACTCAGATTCTCACATTACCTCTCTGCTATACCATGAGGCATCCCTATTCCTTGAATAGAAGTTGGGGAACATTCCATCGCTCTCTGCCTCTAAATAGTGTGTAAAATACCATGTGCATCATTTATAGGTGTATAAGTAGTCCTTGCATGTTGCTCACACACAAATCTACATTCAGAAGCCATGAATGTTTCTAAATTAAGCAGCCAAACACTATGAAATGGCAGAATTAAGGTTGCCTATGTAACCCTTTCTTTCTCATTTGTGTGCAGGTATTGGGATAGGTATTTAATGACAAGGCATATGCTTCCTTTTTCCTTCCTGCTATGTCCATGCCTCTTTCAGCACACAGTCCAGAGGGCAGCTCTGTAGTTCTTTCCTTTCCTAGTTGCTCATTGTGTAGCTTTGAACAACAGTTGTGTTGCTGTGAACAACTTTCTGTGAGCCATACCTTACTAACTACAGAGTTAAAACTTATTTAACAAATAATTCAGGGGTTTTAAGGGCTGGCTTTCTTCAAGACATTTTTGTTATGAGCACTGAGTGAAATAAGAACACATTTCAAGCTGACTCCAAATCAGGAGCTATTTATAATACAAAGCAAACTAAGGAAATAAAAAATTGACACAACTTTTTACATGTTCAAAATAGCATCTGTGTTATCCATGTCCCCAGTCTTGTAAATGAATGGATCTATTTTGGCTGAAAACTTTCACAAAGGAAATTTTCCTAGTCTTTTCTTTTTCTGTGGGGGTAAAGTTTAGTAGATGCACATGCCACTTGGAAAAAAGATAAGTGCTTAAGAAAGACATTCTATTGTCTAGTCAACACAGATATATTTTAATACATATATAAGTTGTGTTTTATTAAAGTATTAACTTTGAAAATATCTGGTTCAAAGGAAAAGCCAAAATTCTGTCATATATTTCAGGTATTTTAGTTTTGTCTTTAGACTTCATGTATTTTTATATTTGAAAGACTAGTTTTAGAAATTGTTGCTAACTTTTAATGAGCATACTGATATTCTGCATGACTTTAAATAGTAACAGCAGTCAGCCATTTCTAAATCTGGCAACTTCTTAAATGAGTTACTTTGAGACTTTCAGTTTTGCTTTAATGTTGTCTGTATATAAAAACACAGTTTGAAGTGAAGACTTGTACAAATACATGGAACTTAGAAAAGGAGCTTGAAGCCTAAAGAAGGAACAGTCGGAGAGGATGTGCTAAAGTTGCAGAATAAAATCTAGAAGTGCTGCATGTTGTTTTCTGATAATCATCCAACAGATACTTGACACCTCTTTAACTTGACCAGTGGTGTTTGGTTCTGTGCAACATTGCTGACCAGAACACTCCAGGTTTAGCACAGAATGCTTGTTACAAGGTCAAGAGGGAGGAAGGGAGCACATGAGCAGATAGCTGGTGTGACGTAGATGAATGGGAAGGATAGGCCAAATCCCAGCGATTTTAAATTCTGTTTCTAATGCATGATAATTTGGATTTAAGTAAATACAAGTGGTTCTGCCAAAAGCAGAGCTAACAAGGTCTGATTTCTGTGATCCACCCTGTGACCAGAACATTCTCCAGACTTCTCTTCATCTCCAAAATCTTCATCCTCACGATGCCCCTGTGTTCCTTCACATATTAGTTTGGGTCGTGAGTGGGGCTGTATGTGGGCTGGTTGTCATGTCAGTGCTTACATGCTGATGGATAGTGTCTTTAGAAAAGTTACAATCGCCTTTTCCTCAGTAAGGCCATTATCTGGAGGCTGTCCTTTTCAAACAGCTGTCAGTTATCACAGAATTTGTGGAAATATGATATCTTTGGGATTTCTGCTTCTTAGTCAGATGGAATTGAAATTGATCCAACATTTTCAAAGTTGCTTGATGAAGGAGAGGGGGCGGTGATGGGCTGGGCAGCACAAGTCATCAGCCTCATTTTGACCTTAAAAAAACAAGTTAAATCATCTCATCAGAAAAAAACCCTGTTGTTGAACACTAGGTACTCAAAGCCTGTGATATTCCGAGGCTCCTTGGCAGTGCTATGTGCTCACAGGTTCTGTTGCTGTCTGTGAATCGTGGGTGCTCAGCACTCTTGAGAGTCAGATGATTTGGATACAGGTGGTGTAGGTAAATTTAGGTGCCCTGAATAAATGCCCTCTGACAGGCTATTTAAGGTGCCCCATGTGAAATATGGGAGGGGAGGTTGTATGTTTTGGGCTTTTCCCACGGGTAATTCACTGCTGCGTTCACCAGGTTGGGCAGCAGCACGTGCCTTTAGGTTGCAACCCTGCAGTCAGCAGGCCTAAAGCTGGCTCTGGTGTTCTCCACAGCCCTCAGCTGCAGCAGCAATCTGGTGCAACTGGCAGTCCAAATGGCAAACTCCTGGGTAAATTTGTCAAGAAAAATAGATACAAACCTATCCTTAATCTTTTCTTTTTCTTTTAGTGCATTTATTTTTTTGTATCCTAACTTTCAAGAAGTGATGCATGTGTTTTAATGACTTGGGGTTCTGTACAGTTTTATTTTAGTATCTCACCTGTATGAAAACATTTTGTGGGGATCTCTTAAAAAGACTTTTGTACTGTATTTGTTTTATCATTGCAGATAAACATTTCTGGATTTCTCCCAAAAGCACAGTCAGACAGTTCTTTGACAAGCCTTTCAAGTTCAGAAAAGAGTTTCATTTTTGTTAATAGTCGTCCAGTTCACCAGAAGGAAATACTGAAGGTAACAACATCCATCTTCTTATTCAAGGAATAGAAATGTTACTTCTTTGAGAACAGAGACACCTGTGCAATCTGGAACCATCTTCCCACGTAAAATAGAGTATTACAGATGAAGATACTTGCATTTACAAGAGAAACCTCTTCCACAAGTCAGATGCTCCTGGTGCCTCAGTTCTGTTTCATTTGCTGCAGTCTCTTAAGACCACAGAGCTGGAGGTTATGTTTAGGACTCTTTAAAAAAAATAATTTCAGATATTCTGTGCAAGAGACCAGCACAGTTAATTCTTTCTTTGTGTTAGCCTGCAGAAATACACTTACGAAGTTCTCAGTGAGGGAACTTTGTGGTTTCTTCTAAGAGAAGTATTCTGAAAAAAAAAGTGTAGGTTTTTTTCACTTCTTACTGTGGGCTTATCAAGCAGATATGAATACTTTTCCTTTAAGTTTGTGTATGCATTGGATAAAAATGAAAGTGATAGTGCAGCAGCATTGGCTACAGCTAGGCATTGTGTAGGCAGAATTTGATACTCTTGGGTTTCTCACGCTACTGAACCTTGGAGCACCCTTGCTGTCCTAGTCCTTACCCTCCCTAGAAAAGAAAATCATGCCAAAGTGTACATGTGGGTTTTAAAGTGGAGACAATTAAGTAAGTTGGCAAGCAAAGCTTTGCAGATGTAAACCCTAAACTGTGGTATGTGAAGTGACAAATAACGCTGATCCATCTCCACACAATATTTGATGTGCCTGGTTCTTCTGGGAGTTCAAAGCTCAGCTTGAATCCCGTGACAGAGGCAGCTTTTTAACCAGAGCACAGAGACCTAGATTCAAGGTGGGATGCAGAGTACTATTATACAAAGTAAAAATACATTGCCTTTCATCTAGAGCTGTTCTTGTAGCAATGCAAGTGGTGGTGTTCCACTGCCTTTTCTTTTTTCTGGTGGTTGGGGGGGTCCAGTTTTATAATTGATTTTTTGGCCAAGTGAGGCTAACAATGCATCTGTAAGAATATTTTTTGTTGGGCCTGGAAAACAAGCTACAGGTCACTTATGTCTGTGCTATGTATGGGGAAGAAGTGCTGGTGAACCAGGTAGTACTACAGTTTAGTGCCAGCTGAGGACAGACTGTGGGAATATAAAGGCTAAAATAACTTCAAAATAATAGAATTGTCTCAGTTGGAAAAGACCTTTAAGGTCATCAAGTCTAATGGTTAACTCAGCACTGCCAAGTCCACCACAAAACCATGTCCCTCAGCAACACATCTACATGTCTTTTAAATGTGTCCAGGTGTGGTGACTTAACCGCTTCACAAGTTTCATGCTATTTCAACAGTATTTAAGAATAAAAAAATATTTTTTAAAAAACTAATATGCTGCAGATCTTAATTCTTTATGCTTTCAATATATTTTTTTTGTCCTGTCAACATA